CGCGGCTGGGCGACAGCAGTGCCCCTCCCACGGGAGGCGCCGCGGTGGCCCGAGAGGAGCGGACCGCGAGCGGCGAGGCTGGCGTGCCCTACACACACCCAGCCTCCGCCCCAGCCCGCTCGCGCGCGTCTCGTCACCTCCGCCGGCACTGGCAGGTTCTCCGCCGCCGCCTTCAGCTCCAGCACCGAGTCCGTCTGCCTGTCGGTCAGCGGCGCCGTCGAGTCAGGCCTCCGATCCCACAGAGCCAGCTTCTCGCGCGCGTCCCGCTCGGCCGCCGCCTGGGGCAACAGCAGCAGCGCCGCCTCCGCCATCGCCGCCGCGGTGGGGCCTCAACAGCGGCCGGGTGCAGGGGACCCCGACCGAGAAGCCCTGACAACTTCCGGCAGCACTGGGGCTTCCAGCACAGAGCCGGGGCGAAGGGGTGGGGCCGGAGTGCGCTGACCCCGGAAGCACTTACCCAGTGTTTGGGCGGGGCCAGAACCGGGACTGACGTGGCGTAAGCGGGTGCAAAGATTTCCCGTCACGCTGGAAAGAGGGGCGTGGACGCGACTCTCTCAGGCGGAAATGGGAATGCCCCTACCGGAAGTCGCTTCCTCAACATGAATAACTTTATTTATACCTTTGGGTCACGTGATTAGCACCTTCTCGGCCTTGGGGCCTTGCGGAACTCCCTGGTCTACTGCCTCTTCGTTTACTGCTAGTACTATGGGTGCAAGGTGTGATCGCTCTGTCCTCGGTTGACACCGCTTAGCTCAAAACTATGAACGCAAAGTTTTCCAACATCCATTAGTTTTCCCTGTTAGAAAACTAATCCATGGAGGGAGCCGGCGGTGGGTGGCGCTCTTGTCATCCCAGAATTTGAGAGACTGTGGCAGAGGGATCGCCGTGAATTTGAGGCCAGCCTGGGGTACTTAATGAGCTGAAGCCCATCCTGAACTACACTGTGAGAGTCGGTCTCAAAAAAAAACCTTATTTATGGAAGCAAAAAATTCAGAATACATATATCTAAATAGGTATAAAATACCATGAATAATATATCAAATAACTAGAAACAACAACCAAAATGAGACAAAAAATTACATATTGGAGGAGACTAGGGAGACATGGCATCCCACTGCATTTTGGGATACTGGACTGGATCCTGAACAATCATGACCATACATAAATATACAATAAAATATAAAAATTCAAATAAGGTCTTGAGGTGATAATATTGTGCTAGTGTTAATTTCCTAGTTTGATTGTGATAGCTGAACTCCCTGCACAACTTTTGCGACATTTCTGAAGTCTAATAACCCAAAGAATAAAAAATCTAGTAGGAAATATTTATCTGAAGAAAATGATTGTGATATACTCTTAAAAATGAAACCACATATAATCCTACTGACCAATGAAACACTCCCAAAACATTGATGGGTAGTTGGGATTACTGATAACTTTTACTTTTTCATTGTTTTATGCTTTATAAGTTTTTAAATCATTGAATCCAGCTTCAGGACACTATTTCTTCACCACAATTTAATGCAAGTCATCCAATAGCTCTGTTTATTTATTTATTTATTGGCAGAACCGGGAACTGAACTCAGACCCTTGTGCTTGCCAGGGAAGCGCTTATTCTACTGAGCCATCTCCCTGGCCCCTGTAGCTCTGTTTAGATCTGTGGCTCTATTTGTCTAAGTGCTTAAAACATTCTCTAGATCAGACCGATCTAGATCCACAAATCTCAAATGAAATTAAGCCTCTCAAAATTTGTGAAGATAATCCTTTACCAAACATCATCCTTCAAGGGCCAAATGCAAACATGTTCTCCCAAACGAACTTGTTACAGATTTTCCTAAATTCATAATTGCTTCATGTTACAGTTTGTGTCTAGTTGATCCCCCCGACACACACACACACACCAAAGCCTCAAGCAGTTACTGGGGCAGGCTTCTAGAGTTTGTTTTATTTATTTTACTCAACATTAATTCATGATCCAATGCTGGGCTTATGGGTATGAGTGCTACACCCGCCTAGGGACAGATAGCCTGCATACAATAGAAGGAAGGGAGAGAAGCTAGCTAGCTTCTGCCACCACTGCTCCTCCCTTTGCTCTTTGCTGGTTTTCACTGCCATGAACTGCTGCCCTTTAATTTAGTACATGGTGAGAGATAAGGGTCTAAATTCAGTCTTCTACATGTGGAAAACCAGTTTCTCCACAAGTATTTGTTCAAGAGGCTGTCTTTCCTCAAGTGCATGATTTTTAAAAGTTTTTCCTAAGATGTTTATTTTTAGTTTTTACACAGCCAGTATGGAAATTCCTCAAGCACATGTTTTTGGGCCCTTTGTCAAAGATCAGTTAGCTTAATGGGCCTGCAGATGTTTCCGCATCCTCGATTCTCCTCCATTGTCCACATCTGCATTTGTAACACTACCATGCTGTGTTTTGTCACTGGCACTTCTTAACAGAACTTGAAGTCTGAGATTCTGATGCATCCTGCTTTGCCCTTCCTGCCAGCATTGCTTTTGCTAGTCTGGGTTTCTTCTGGTTCCATATGAAGTTTAGGACTGTTTTCTCCAGTTCCGTGAGGAATGCTGTTAGCATTTTGATGGGGATTGCATTCTGCCTATCAGTTTTAAAAGTATGGCCATTTTGACAATATAGGTTCTGTTTAAACAAGAATAGAGGATATCTTTTTATTTTCTGGTTTTCAGAGTACTATAGTTTTTTGGTTTGGGTTTTGCTCCTTTTTTGAGACAGGGTCTCACTATGTAGTTCAGGCTGGCCTTGACTCAGTGATCTTCCTAGCTCAGCTTCCTCAGTGCTAGCATTATAGATAAGTACTACCATGCCCAGCTTGGGGTACCATAGTCTTAACTAAAGGTTTTTCGCTTCCTTGTTTAGGTTGATTCCTAAGAACTTAATTTTTCTGGATGCTATTGTAAATGATACTGTTTTCCTAATTTCTTTCTCAGTGATGGAGGTTGTTTTGAAAATGTGTGTGCTGGAATAACAACAGTAGCAACTGACTGAATTTCCTATACTCTTTAAGTGGGTCTCAGTCTTTAGGACCCATTTCTTTTCTGCACAGGCCAAAGAAACAAGTGGAGAGATAACAGAAAATCACCTAATCCCTTTCTCATGTGTGACAGAATGAGCCACTATTTGCCAAATACTGCAGTTCCCTCCCTGTGGAAGAATCATATACTATACTTTCCAAATCCCATTTAGTCTTGTCTGTGTGACTTGCAAATGACATGGAAATGGAAGTGACATGGGTCACTTCTGGATGACTTTGAGTCCTCATTTGTGCTTCACTTTCATATATTTTTCCCATACCATTAGACAGGCAATATTTCCCACAGGGCATGCAGCCAGGATTCCAGAGGAAAAACCACTTCAGTCAATCTGTGTTGGACATGTAGCATAATTAAGAAATTTGATTGTGCAGTGTTGGTGAGTGAGAGTCAGAGTCTTACTATAGTTCAGGCTGGCCTTGAACTCTGTATGTAGCACAAGCTGATACCAGTCCTCCAGCCTCAGCCTCCTAAGTGCTGGGATTACAGATGTGCACCACTATTCCCAGCTTTGGGTTGGTTGTTGAGTTTTGGCATTGTTGCCAAAGAAACCTGGCATACAATTACATGCTTTCCTCACTGGTTCAGTTAGTATTCGGTAATCCCCAAATGGTCACAAGTATTTCCCTTCCCCAGAGCTTGAGGAAAGATTTTTTAGTATGAATTGCAGCAGTGTCAGAGGCTCCAGGTCCGCAAACCTGCTCAGGTCTCAGAACTAGGTGAGTGGCCAGAAATCTATTATGGTGACCCAAACTAGACCTCTGCTCACCTTATAGCTTTGTTAGGTAGATCAGCTTATACCTTACTAGGCTGACCATCTATGTCATTCCTAGGGACACCACCAAAGGTCCTTGCAAGTCAAAGCATTCCGTTTGCCATGGTGTCTCTGTTGTCTGCTACAGTAACCGTACCCAGGATCCCTCTGTTAAACACTGCTACTTGGTATCTGAAATCACTCACTCATTTAACTGGCAGCATTTCTTATGGAGAAGATTTTAAATGAGATGCTTACAGGCATATCAGTGGTTTCCAACTTCTTGGTCTTGGTACACTTGGTTCTGTTACTTACACTGAGCTTTTTCTTTTTATTTATTTTCTTTTTGGTACCAGGAATCAAACTCAAGACCTTGTACTTGGCAGGCAAGCCCATTGAACTTTTTAAAAATACATTCACACAATACTTGTGTCTTGTATTCCCATCTCTGGAAAAAAAAAAAAAAAATATATATATATATATTTGGGGGTCGGTACCAGAACTCGAACTCAAGACCTTGCACTTGATAGGCAAGTTCTGTGATGCTAAGCTACATCCCCTCCACTTCTAATCTACTGAAAATTTATCATCCCTTCTTCCCAGTTGCCAGTTTAAACATAAGTATCTTGCCGAATGCACCTAGTAGGTATCATCCTCCAACCGAATCACTGTTCACAGGCATGTGAGCCACACCAGCATCAGCTGTTCTCACTGAACTTCATACGTGAAAATGTTCAAATTGTGAACAGGAGTCACTTTTTATTTTATGGATCCCTGTATGAACCACCATGGTAGATTAGCGCAACTTGCTACACCCAGCTGAACTGAATCAGCATGACTCTGAGCACAGAAGGCCCACCTGAGGACTGTTGCCAACAGCATAAAAGGAGTACTGGAGGGGAAGATGGTGTGCTGTTGACTCCTGGAGAAGCTTGTCACACTGCCTTTCTTGGCTGTTCTCATTGTCAGAGAAGCTTGGGGCCTTGCTATAACTGAGGATGGCTGCAGCTCCTTTCAGGGGAGCCCTGGTCCTTACCTTGAATGTTCATTGGCTGCAGTGCTGATCCCTCAGCCTGCTGGCACAGAGCCTTCATCCCACTGGCAGACTCCCTAGCTTCCGCCACTGATCTCTGGGACAACCAGGGGAAATCCTTGATACAAACTTGCATGAGACATTGTCATGGGCTCTAGGCCTCCAACTGGATTCATGGAGGACACTGCTAAGGGCTGAACTTGTGCAGGACACTGCCATGGGATCCAGGCCCTCAGCTGGATCCTTTGGGTCTCAGGTATGTGGACAGATCTCCTTGCAATGCTCTTTTGCATTTGACGTTTTGGGTGAATATTAAAAAATAATAATATGTAGGAAAGTGATCGATGATGTAGAGTGTGCCTAAGGAGAGTCACATGGAGAGAAAACACTCTCTCAGGCTTTCACAGAGAGCACATTGGCCAAGCAATGGCCGTGACTCATCCACATGGCTGACACTGACAAAGGTTCTACAATCTGAGGTACAGGATCTCAGGATAAATCCTGAGGGCATTTCACTGACCTTCTCAGACCCAAAAGCTACAACTCTTGTTGCATAGGTCCTGCTTTACCTTGATCTTAACCATCCAGAAGAAAAGTATAAAAACAAAGTATAAGAAGTAAAGCCATGGTGTTATGTTGAGCTGTAGGGGACTCAGGTCAACAATTTCTGACATTGCCAGTGAAGCAGAAGACCCAATACTATTACGGGCCACTGGACTTTTAGGGGTTTTTTTTTAACTCTTTTAAAATATTTTGCTGAGTTAACACACCTATAATATTCAAATGACGGAACTAAACAAAAAGGGGATACAGATGAATGTCCATTTTGTATCTGTGTATTCAAAATGGTCAGGATATATAGTTACATTCTCTTAATGAATACGGGGATTTGTTCTAATGGTGTTTGTAAATAGGATATCAAGTCCGCATCTTGCACATCAATTAACCACTAGGAAGAATGTACGCAATGTGTTAATTATTGAAACTGTCCTACCAATTTGGTTTGAAACTGTCTCATTGCTATTTGTTTCTCAATAAAATTATGGAAAAAATAATATGAATAATGTGTCCTGTATTAAATCTATTCCCTTGTAAACCCTGACTACAACAACCATATAACCATATCTACCTGCTGCATCTCATCTCTTTCAGGGCCTGCAAACTAATCTGAATGATGCATTGATACATGCCATGATACGTATGTACAAACCCACAGAATGCACAGAGTGAATCATAATATAAACTGTGGGTGTTGGATAATAATGTGTAACACAGGCACACAGTTCTAGCAGCTGTATCACTCTAGTATGGAATACTGAGAAGGGAGGAGGCCGAGATATATGCAGATTTCTTTCTCTCTTTTTTTTTTTTTTTCCTCTTAAAGATAACCTTTGTTTTTCTGTACAAGTTTTAGAAAATACATGCAAGTAAAAGAGCTAAGACAAAAATCACTCACGAACCTAGTAATACTTGCACATTTTTTCGTCGGGTACTTTTTCTCTGTGTGTGCATGCCTAGGTGTATGCACTTTTATTTTTTTATTTTTATTTTTCCCATAATTTTATTGAGAAACAAATAGCAATGAGACAGTTTCAAACCAAATTGGTAGGACAGTTTCAATAATTAACATATTGCGTACATTCTTCCTAGTGGTTAATTGCTGTGCAAGATGCGGACATGATATCCTATTTATAAACACTATTAGAACAAATCCCTGTATTCATTAAGAGAATGTAACTGTATATCTATCCTAACCATTTTGAATACACAGATACGAAATGGACATTCATCTGTATCCCCTTTTTTTGTTTAGTTCCATTATTTGAATATTATAGGTGTGTTAACCCAGCAAAATATTCTAAAAGAGTCCAGTAGTCCATAATAGTATTGGGTCTTCCTCTTGACTAGCAGTGTCAGAAATTGTTGACCTGAGTTATATGCAGCTTTCTGTACCTGCAAATTTTGCTGTGAACTTAAAAGGTTTTTTTTTTCTTTAAAAAGGGTCTATTAAGAAACATAATGTTCTCCCCTTTTTCCCAATCTTTTTTTTTTTTTTTAAGTAAACCACCATGCTCAATTCAAATATTAAGTCAGCACATTTAGTTCACTGGTTGTTTTCTACAAGCCAGGTGTCTCTTGCTGGTCCACAGATGACCAGGAGCCCAGCTCTGGGCTCTATCAAGACCCATGGCTGGAAGGCCCGAGAGAACAGGCCAGCCCACAGTGCCAGCGCAGCACACTGGAGCTGTGAACGTCCAGGCTGCCCTGCCAAGCCAGCTTCACAATGAAGCTCAGTGGCCTCCCCTGAGATGCAGGGCATTTCAGGTAATGGGGTTGGGAGGAGTCACACAGATATCAGGCAAGAACAAAGTGATCCCCAATACTCCATCTGCAGAGAAGTAGCCACTGCCACTGTCACAAAGGTTCTGTCCCAGTTTTCTCAACTCTATAGTTTGGCTTTGCTAAAATGTTTCCATTTATCTGAAATAACCACAAATCCTATTACTATATTTATATATTATAGTTTATTAAGTAAATGAAACAAGGTGTATGTCACATATTACAGTAATGTTTAAATAAAGAGTTCAAAATATGAAGGCTTAAGAAAAATGTATTCTCTTTATATAATGTATGCTATTTCTAACATGAATAAATACAGTAAACAGGAGTCATTTTTTATATTATGGATCAGCAACATTAAGCATCAATGATTACACAAATCCATAAGCAAACAAAAGCAAAACTACTTTCTTCAAATCAGTTATAAATACTAGAAAACCTTTTTCACATTTGAGCAATATTCAAAGTGGGGGAGGACTAGAAGCCATACCCCTAAAAATAACAGGAATAAGCCTCCCAGTTCCTGAAATTATTTCTCTGAAAACAAGAGGAACAAGTCTCCCAACTCCTAAAGTTGTTTCTTGGTTAGAAGCATTAACAATTGTGCTAATTCCTTCAGGAAATAGTAAAAGCAGGTTAAGATCTTGTTATATAAGGCACTTATAATAAATCTACAACATATTTTTTCTTAAAACATTATATTTTTGTCTTAAAACAAAAGTTTTAGGGTGAACTTTGAATTTTCCATTCTGATATGGACCTGTACATACTCTGAAACTAATAAATATTATCTGATAGTCTCTATATGGTCTTCAAAATGAATTCGTTGGGGGCCAGGGAGATGGCTCAGTGGAATAAGTGCTTCCCTGGCAAACGTAAGCATCTGAGTTCAATCCCTGGTTCCTCAAAAAAAAAAAATAAATTTGTGTTAGAAATTGTATACTTTAAAAATGTTTTCTACATTACTAATAAAGTGGTTCAAAAAAAAAATCAACTCAAAGAACTCAGTGAAAGCCTCTCTACAGAAAGTCTATTATATCCACGGAATGTTCTAGAAAGAAAAATATCTTCACACAAGGTTTAGTACCAGGAAGGCCGCCTGCAGGAACTCAGGGGTCCTCTAGTGCCATCTAGTGCCAGCCAGGGAAATGAGGCCTTTCATCTTACCCTCTAGGCAATTAATTCCACCAAAGGTCTTTATTTTTTTTTCGGGGGCGTGCACATTGCTGGGGATGGAACTCAGAACTTTGTATATGCAAAGCAAGAGTTCTACAACTAAGCCACACCCCAAGCTTGATCTTTCTTCTTTATGATGTCTTACCTCTTACTTTTGGTTTTTATCAAAGGAAATATTAATAAAGAAAAAGTTCCAGGCACCGTGGGATACTCCTATAATCCCAGTTCTTGGAAGGCTGAGGCAAGAGGATTGCCACAAGTTAAAGGCCAGCCTGAATTTTTAAGACCCTGCCTGCAGAAGAGGAAAAAGAGGAGGAGGAGAGGAAGATGACTTCTTGTTAGTGACTTTATTAGTGAAAATGGCTATGAAGAAAACTACCGGATCCACAAAGAAAACCCGCATTCCTTCAACTCTCAGGGAGGAAGAAGTCCCAAGGCCTAGACAAGCTAGAAATCAATCTGGCAGACACAAACTGTACAGAGTAGACTGTCCAAAAGCCCCAGTTAAAATTTATGTGGCTCTAAAGGGTAACTCCAGAGAGAGAAGTAAACATACTCACTTTCCTGGGATAACATCTAGAAATAGAAACTTAGTGGGGCTCTTAGAGACAGATTTTGCTTTGAAAAGAAAAAGATGAAGACAGGAAGAGAAGAAAATGATTCACAACATCACTAGAATATAATAAACAAGGAAAACGTACCTTTTGTCAGAAACTAGATAAACAGATGCACTTAAAGACATGGGGCTCAGCTGCAGGGTGCTTATCTAGCGCAAGAGGCCTGGGTTCCATTCCTAGCACTGACACATAAGAGTTCTTAAAATTTTAAGCAAATCCAGGTGTAGTGGTGTATGCCTGTAATCCCAGCACTTGGGAGGCTGAGCGAGGAGGACTGGCTTGAGTTTGAGGCCAGCCTGGGCTACACGTTGAATTCAAAGCCAGTCTGAATTATACAGTGAGAGCCTGTCTCAAAAAACAGGGCCAGACGCAGTAATGGTGCACGCCTGTAATCCCAGCACTAGGGAGGCTGAGGCAGGATGATTGCTGCGAGTTCAAGACCAGCCTAGGCTACGAAGTGAGCTCAGGGCCAGCCTGAGCTATATAGTGAGACCCTGTCTCAAAAAGACAAAAAAAAAAAGCAAGTATTTTCTACCAAACTAGGGTGTCCAAAACAGAAAACATTAAGATACAACATAAACTAAAAGTTAGAAATCTGGGAAATCCAACTCTTCAATTCACTACGAAGTTTCAACTAAGTCAATAAATTATAGACATGTACCACCATGTCCAGCTCTGCCTATTTTTTCTTCATTTAATCCTTACAGTAATTATCCCCATTTTAAAATCAGAAACGATAAACTTTGCTAAAACTCGTAATTACTAATATTACCTAAAACAGAAGCCAAGCTGCTTGAAAACATCTCCATCAAGTCAGTGTAACCTTTGAAGTCAACACATTACACTACCATTAACTTAGGCATTAACACATTGTAACAATTCCTCACAAAGGTCAACATTTCAGAGGCTTAAAATCACTTACTATAAGTGAGAGATCCTGACAAAAAAGGAAACTATAAAGCAGTGAAAGGATTTATTCCCTGCACTGTCTATACCTGGGCTTAAAAAAAGTCCAAGTCTCCATGAACAAATGTCCTCAGCTGACAGGAAGCCAAAGCTCCCAGCTGTTCTGGAACAGTGACACCCTCACAGAGGCTCCCACGCATAGTTTCCAGGAACTTTTCAGGGCAGTCTGATACTTGCAGCTGGGAGCTGGGAGGCATCAGGGGCTACTCTCCCAGAAGAAAACGGTACACATTCCTGATTTTCTTTAGTAAAAAACATGCATTTCATATATTATCTTGGATGTCAAAGGGCACTTCAATGGTAAGGACCAGTGTTGGTGTGCCAAAGTTTAGGCCATCAAACACTATGAAAGGCATCTAATGCCAACACACAGCAATCTGAACTAATCTCGATCTTCATCTGTTGCTCCCATCCCAGAATCTGTGATGAACTGAGCAGTGAAAAGCAGAGAGAAATGCCGAAAGCTCTACTGTTGCAGAAGTTAGCGTTTTCAGAGGGTGCCTCATGCAGCCTTTACTCGTCACAAATCCAATCTCTTCAGCTGTTCATATGTCACAAAAAACTGTAATTATGGGTTAAGGCTGCCAAATAAAACACTGTCTTACCAACTCCAATAAATAAAAGCAGACCTAAAATTAGCACAGCTGCTAACCAATATGGACATGATGAAGCATGAACCACGCCATGTTTAACCTCCCCAGGCCCTCCCTGGAAGCTGGCCCTGCTCGATCAGGAAGGTCACAGCTCAGGCTGCACATCCCCTCGCCTCAGCTCATACTTATTAGCTCTTGTGACTCTGCTGTGCTGCAAAGACTCTAGAACAATCCACTTCTGTGGAACAAAGAGTCTGGAAGCTCCTCATGCAGCCTTCCTTGGGAGGAGGGGCAGACAGAGAAATAAGAGGCTGGCAAAAAAACAGCATTACTATTTCTTAATCCTTCCTTTTCATGTCTGTCAAATCTCTCCTGTCTCCTACTTTGACATAAAAGAAAAAACACTTTTTTGTTTTTTAGTACTGGGGATCAAACTCAAGATCTTGTGCTTGCCAGGCAGGCACTGAAGTCATTGAGCTATCTCCCCAGCGCAAACAAAAAATACAGATAAGCCAAACAATTCCAGAGCTAATTCTTGTTTATCACCAATCTCTACAATAAGTATTCTTGGACACTGTCACCAACCATATTCTTCTGCAAGGCATCTAGAGATGTAAAACCAATCCTTGCCTTTGTTTCTGTCTCTTTCTCTGAAATCATAAATACCCTCAACTTCTAGAGTAGATCTAATCTAAAATTTTATTGATATATTATCTTTTACTACATTATCATTAAGATCCACAGTATCTAGAACAGACTTTATATTTCCTAAAATAGATATTGAACAGTTATTTCTTAGAATCAGAGGAACTCAAACATTAAGAATATAGGACAGGGCTGGGGAGATAGTTCAGTAGACTAAGCAATTGGCTGGCAAGTGCAGGATCCTGAGTTCAATCCCCGGTTCCACAAAAAAAAAAAAAAAAAAAAAAAAGAAGAATATAAGGCAGCAATTAATATTCTGATAGCTTATACAAATAATATTCTTTAGCTACATCTTTTTTTAGATCTATTGCAACAGAAAAGGATACGATGATATTCCAAGGACCAAGCCTCAACCAATTTGGCCAAAATCCTTTATAGAGAGCAAAGAAACCTTCATTCTTCCATGTCTGTTAAGAAGAAAAAAAGAATTAAATTACAACTTCTTAATGTGTCAAATGTATTAGGTTGTCAGCTGATCTATTTTTCTTAAAAACTAAATTCTGGGGCTGAGAGTATAACAGGACTGGGAGTATTGGCGTGGACTGCATAGTGAGTTCATGACCAGGCTGAACTACACAGTAAGTCCCTGTCTCAAAAGAACCAAAAGTGGAGGGGGACAGGAAGGAAGAGGAAAGGGAGAGGCCAGAGGAGAGGAAGACTCGAGGGGAGCAGAGGGGAGAAGAGGGGAGGGAAGTAAGCAAGCGACAGTAATAAAGATATCATTCAGGGCACTCCTATTTCTTAAGTTGTTGGGTGAATAAAATGAAACTATCTTCATTTCATCAAAACAATACTTGAAGTGGGGCCAGGGAGATGGCTCAGTAGAATAAGTGCTTCCCTGGCAAGCACAAGGGTCTGAGTTCAATCCCCAGTTCCACAAAACAAACAAACAAAAAAAAAAAATCTTGAAGTGTAACAGGCCAGCCTCTTGCTGCAGAATGGGAACCAGGGAAGTCATCCCTAGTCTTTTTTGCTGAAAATCTAGCTGGGAAGACAGTTGAAAACCTTCAGGTACTGATGAATATTAGGCCCAGTTACTCAGACACTGAGAATTTGACCCAACAGGGAAAGGTATATTTTGGAAGAAGACAGTTCTATGATGACAGAAAATGATATTATTTTATTACCCTTCACAGCAGAGTGAGGTATACAGAAAATTAACTTTCATCTCTAAATATGCATCTAGATTTTATATACATAAAAGTTAACCCTTTTCATGCCTACAATGCCAGTACTTGAAAGGCTGAGGCAGGAAGACTGCTGTGAGTTCAAAGCCAGCCATGACTTCAAGGTCACCTTGGAATACGCAGAAAGATCCTATCTCAAAAAGTCAAACAAAGAATAAAAGAGTTAATCCCAATCTGTACAATTAATACATACTAATTATAAAAAAAATGACATGAGTAGAGTAGAAAAGAAGGAACTTTAAAAAGGTTAACCCCAGTGTGTCTAAAATGGTATGATACATAAACCATCAAGCATCTCAGCTTTTGAAATTTTGTTTTTTTGAGTCAGGACCTCACTATATAACCCAGACTTGCCTCAAACTCACAGTAATCTTGCCTCAGCTTCTTGAGTCATCATAGTTTTAATTTAGTTATTTCTTAAATTTATATATAGATATATCTTTCATAACCCTGCACAGACATTTGTTCTCACCTGTAACAAGCAATCCAGGGTCCCTGTGTAGCCAGAGCAGCTGCCACCCCGAACGACTCTCTGATTCATCATACGGGTCCTCACAACATCAACAGGGTTTGAGGCCAGGGCCCCCACTAGACCACAGGTGAAGCTTGAGCTGGGTGAAATCATTAAAAAATATATATATATCAATCACCACTCAGCCATAACTGCTACTATCAAAGGCAGGAAACAATCTCCTCCCAAAACTATGTTTAAATAAGATAGAATAGCATGAAATGTATCAAGAATAAGGTTGATGTAGAGAGTCAGACAAGCTTCTTAAATAAATCACCAGCAATGATTTATACTGGCTTGTAAATTCCAGCTACAGCTAAGAATACTTTAAGTCAAAGGAAGAAACATCCTACGAGGATAATCCATTCCACCTATTTACATAAGGAAGATATCACAGTAACTTATATTGTTCCCACAAGTCAACCATGTCCTCACTGTAACTGCCCACTGGGGGGGGTCTCAGGTTCTACTAGACTTTCAATCTTAAAAGACTATCACAGACATAGACACTGTTAAATTGAATTATGTTTACCTAAAACTGTATCTATATATAACTATAACCTGCACCAACAGTCTAAAGTGAGAGTGCACTCCTGTAACGAGACGCAGACAAGTGTTTGCTAAACATTCAGCTGCTCAGAGGCAGATAGTTGTCGAAACACATCCAGATGAAGCAAATGCAGAAGGGCGTCAATCAGGCTATCTCTATACAGATGCTCTCAATTTATGACATATGCTTATGTCCCAAGAAACCCAACCAAGGTAGAAAACATCATAAATAGAAAATATATTTAATATACTTAATCATCATAGTATCAAAGCTTAGTCTAGCCTATATTAAGTATGCACAGATCACTTAAATTAATTTACAGTTGAGAAAAATAATCTAACATAAAGCCTATTTTATAATAGGACCTAATACCTCTTATAAGGTGTTTTCTTGTTTTTTGGGTTTTTTTTGTTGTTGGAACCCAGGTTTTGAACTCAGGCCCTTGTGCTGGCCAGGCAAGCGCTTATTCTACTGAGCCATTTCCCCGGCCCCTCTTATAAGGTATTGACTACTGTACTGAAAGCAAAAAACAGAATGGTTGTATGGTTGTACAGGTACACACTCATACCACTGTAAAGTTAAAAGACCCTGAGCTGAACCATCATATATGTCACTTCATGCATCTGACTATAAATATTGCTTACACACACCATGGGACGGAGCTTTCCTGACTTCTAATCACAAGTGCTACCTGGTTCATTGACTTTTTCTGTTTAAATAACTCTGTTAAGTTTAACTGGCTCAAGGTTTTTCTTTTAACAGTGTACATTAACTCAGAGAAGATTTCTCAGCCTCAGCACTATTTACATTTTGGACCAGGTAGATGATTCTGTTTAGGGAGACTCTCCTGTACACCTTAAAATGGCTAGCTGCAACTGCAGCCTCTACCCACTAGATTACACAGTGCTCCTCTTGTAGTGACAATCAAAATAGTCTCCACACTTTGCCACGTGGCCCAGTCAGGGAAGAATCAGCCCCAGTGAATTAAATGACCTATGATATGTTCAGACAGTGAGATACTCTAAAATTACTAAAACAAAGTAAGCCTGTAAGTACTGGTATGGAGAAACATTTAGAACATATTGTGGAGCTAGGGATATAGCTCAGCAGCATAAGTGCCTGCCTGGTAAACACATGGTCCTGAGTTCAATCCTTGGTACCAAAATAAAGTCCAAAATTAGAATAAATTGGGGGGCTTTTTCGGTTCAGTTTGGTATGATCTTGAGATAGGGTTTCAGTATGCAGCCTAAGCTGGCCTCAAACTCATGTCGATCCTCCTGCCTCAGCCTCCCAATTACTTGTGATAACATATGTGTGCCACCATACCTGACATATATTTCTGAATTTTAAAAAGCAAATAAGAGGGCCTGGAAGCATAGTTCAGCTGTAGTGCTTGCCCTACATGCTCAATGCCCTAGGCTGAATCCTCAGCACTGAGAAAACAAAAGCACATAAAAAGTAATTAAGGAAGTATTAAAGAATAATCTTATTTATGTACATGTGGTACTTTTGTGGACATACTGTATACACGTAGATATATACCAAACTCAACAATAGTTACCCATGTGAAGGGGTAAGAGTTTTATCCATCTTCACTTCTGTTACAATTTTTCAAGTATTAAAATATAATACCTTATGATAAAATTTATCTAAAATTTCTTTAAGTTTATACCACATTTCTATCCTAAACTCATGCATATCTAAAATACCAATTTAAAAAAAAATCCATAAACATACAGGAAGTGGGTATATACAGTGTCTCCCATCAGGCCTGAGATAATCAGGTGCTTCTTGGTGATGTCATAGACCGGAAGCTCCACACCAACAACAATCGCAGCTCTCTGAGCTGTAAGGGATACCCCCTGCATAATAATATAAACAATAACATGGTTCAGATAGTTTTCTTTAGAATGCAGAGATTCTCCACAAGCTACAAGCAAATTTTATACATTCTTACTGATAGGCAGAAATGTGAAAGGCAAGAGTGCAAAAGCTGTGCTCACTTCGATAGCACACACACTAACAGAATGCCAAAGCCCTGAGGTCTAATTCTGACTCTGGCACTAACAACGCGACCTTGGCCTGAAGCTGGCCAGGACAAGCTGCCTCTTAAGAGTCTTCTGTGTCATCTGAGGGTTTATGCTGGGTAATATTTAGGGTCTATTCCATGAACTGACAAGTCATTAAAATTCTAGGAAACAGTCTGCACACCAGCACTTGCCTAATAACCTAGACTTTACTTATGTGCCATGTAGGCATATGGATCAGTCATCCAATGGAAGTAGAATCTGGAAACTTCCTCCATAAGGATTGAAACAAAATTTTTAAAGTGTTCAACCTTCACAAGACTTCTCATACATAAATTATTCAAAAGGTGCTTTAAAGTCATGATTATTCCTCATATTCCCATTTTACAGATAAAGGGAAAAAGAAATTGTCGCACTCCTTTACTCAATTATATCAGTTACATTAAAGTAAAGTGATGAAAATAGAATAAACACATTTTAAAATTAAAAAGGAAAGAAGTCAGCAGCATCTGCTCTTCAGTCTTACCTTCCAGAGTCCTCTCGTCCCTTCCTGCTGGTAAATGTTAATGAAGTTGCCTATCATTCCTCCTTGAATGGTGCTGTTTTGCGCTTGCATTCGTATCTAGAGATTATTTTAAAGACAAATATGAGAAGGAAAGCCCCTTCCCCACCCCCACCACCATGGAATAGCTCTGAAAATCATTCCTTGTACTGCTTAGTAACCTACATGCCATATAAAGTTACAAGGATGCTACTACTTTAACAAGTCCTCAGTAGACTAAAAGGTATAAGGACTGGTTCTTAGGAACTCTGGAATCTCTGAAAAGCACCTGGGAGAACGCAGAGACACCTGAAGACAGTATTTCATGAGGTCTCTAAATTTTTTTTTTTTTTTTTTTTTGTACCAGGCATTGAACTCAGGACCCTGCACTTGCCAGGCAAGCACTTGTTCCACTGAGCTATCTCCCTGGTCCTTCTAAAATTATTTTTTAAAAATTAAGTGAGAACACTGTTTTTCCTTTACTACAATTGTTAGCTCAGACTATATAAGTGAAAAATATAATGGATCTCTGTGACACTTTCACGTGCAAATAAGATGCTTTGATGGTATCTCCCTCCCTGCCTCCTCTAACCTACTCCCCTCATTGCTCTGTTCTTAGTCCCTTTTAACTAGTCCTCTTTCTACTTTCATGTCATTCTCTTTAGTTTCTCCCAAAAAATGTAATACTTTTAAAAGTCTTTTGAGGGCTGGAGCGATGGCTCAGTGGTCTAAAGCACCTACTTGAAACAAGCTTAGCAAAGCACAGGGACTGCGGTTCAATCCCCCAGCACCACATGCCAGCCAGCCCCGCCCCCTGGTGGGCTGAGCTGGCCACACACACACACACACACACACACACACACACACACAGTAAAAATAAATAAATAAATATTTAAAAAAAATAAATAAATAAAAGTCTTTTGAGAGCTGGGGCGATAGCTTGGCAGTCTAAGCACCTGCCTGGCAAGCTCAAGGACCTGCGTTCAAGCTCTGATGCCACATGCTGTTCCAGCCCCAGAACTGGGTGTGGTGGTACACGCCTATAATCCCACTGCTGGAGAGGCTGAGATAGGAAGATCACTATGAGTTTGAGCTACGTAGCAAGACCCTGTGTATAAATAAGTAAGTAAATAAATAAATGATTTGCAAAAATAAAAATCTTTTGGGACGGATAGACAACCCCTTATTTCACTGTATTCCAAGTAGAAAAGACAGAAGGTGACGCTATTTCTAAAGATCTAATATAACCAAGAGTTATCCAGAGGAGTTGGCTGCACTAAACACAGGCAAGCATAGGTCTTAAATTGTTCCAAGCCACTAGTGCCAACCTGCTGAACCAAAAAGTATGCAGGCGAGCCAACCACATGATGGCCACATGATGCCATTACACTCTGTTACTCTTGAACTTATTAATGAACTTAACAAAGGCCATGGCTCCACATGACCAAGATTCCACCACAAATAAAACGTCTGATGTAGCTCTTTGCAGTAAGAATGAAAAGGGATTTCTTATATGCAAATACTGGTATCTTACATTTAAGGAGCAAATATCCTACCACTAAGTTCTAAAAGAAACTGTTACTGACACACAAACAAGGCAAAAAGAACCCAAAATACGGGAACTGCCTTTGCACAAGCCCTGAGAGGTGTCTAAGAAGTGAATAAAGGAATGGATATATTTCTCTTATCCTTATGTAAGGTAAACATATAGCAAAAATACCTATACTTCCCTTCAGACATACTATACCTTTCCTGTACTATGGTATAACTACAGTGTACCCACATGTCAAATGCAGTTTTGATGTTTGTCAGAATCCCCTACTAGACCGAAGGCTCCCTGAGGGCAGGGTCCTCTTCTTACTCACTGGGATACCAAGCACACAGAACAGGCAGGAGCACAAAACATACATTAAACAATGAAGAGGGGGAGGGAATATCCTGGGAGGCTGCAGAAAGTAACATTCATTTATTTATTTATTTATTTATTTATTTATTTATTTATTTATTTATTTTTGGCGGAAACAGGGTTGAACTCAGGGCCATGCACTTGCCAGGCAAGTGCTTATTCTACTGAGCCATCTCCCCAGCCCCCTTTATAATTGCATTTATTTATTTATTTATTTTATTTTAGGGAAGGGTCTACAGGGTGTTCAGGGTCTCACTACTAGATCAGACTCCTAGTGATCTGCCTGTTTATGGCCTCCCAAGAGCTGGGATTACATGGGCACACCACCACGTCCAGTCTCAATTGCTGTCTCAGCATGCCACAGGGGTGGAGGCGGGGCAGGCCCAGCAGGCCCGGCCCAGCAGGCCCAAGGATGAACTCTGGCACCCAGGCCTGCTTGCAGGCACTTTAATCCACTGAGCTATTTGGCCGGTCCTAAAATTAAAGCTTCTTTATTTTATTTTATTATTTATTTATTTATTTCTTGCGATACGGGGGATTGAACTCAGGACCCTACAATTGCCAGGCAAGCGTTTATTCTATTGAGCTATCTCCCTGGCCCTAGAAAGTAACTTTTGTAGAATTTCTGCCTTACGACAAAACAGAGTCAAGGAGGCTGGATCCCTAGTATTTTCAGTAAAGTTACATATTTTATTTAATTACAGAAAGTAAATATTTTCATTTGTATTTCTTAAAATTAAATATGTTCAGAAATAAAGATGAATAAACAACCTAGAGTTGTATAAAACTTGAAGCCCATGTACTTCTTTTTTTTTTGGTACCAGGGATCAAACTTGGGACCTTATACTTGCGAGGCAGGAACTTATGCTGCTGAGCTATCCCCACTCCCATGTACTTTATATTTTATTTTTTCCCCCATGTACTTTATTTTTTTATAAACATTTGAAGCTAGTAAGACCTTTGCTTTTTTTTTTTTTTAATTTTTATTTATTTGTGTGTGTGTGTGTGTGTGTGTGTGTGGCCAGCTCAGCCCACCAGGGGGCGGGGCTGGCTGGTATGTGGTGCTGGGGGATTGAACCGCAGTCCCTGTGTTTTGCTAAGCTTGTTCTAAGTAGGTGCTTTAGACCACTGAGCCATCTCACCAGCCCTCCCCCATGTACTTTAAATGAGCAAAAGAACAAGGGAGATTTTCTATGAAAAAAGTAAATGAAATGCACCTAAGCCTAAATTCTTTTCTGCCCATTCATCGAAATTCTTTAAACCCAAAATGACTTCCACTTTCAAGCTTATCTGATCAGTAGAAAATCAATTTAGTAAACACTTAAAAGCTAAGACTGTACATGACACTTCAATTATAAACAGATTCACACATATATGGCATATGTTAGATTCACAGATTTTCATTGTCTGAATAGTGTTCCCAGTAAGAAAAAATGAAATGTGCCTCTAAGCTTACTTTCAAAACATCAGTTGGATTAGCAATGGCTGAGGATATGACTCCAGAGAGAATCCCACATATGACATTGATCAGCAGGGTTTCATCTGTAAATACACATATTATTTTACTCTTAATATAGAGAGTGTTCTTCCTGTAACGCAAAACATTAAATTAGTGTTACTTATTTATGTGTTATTTAATTTTTTTTTTTTTTTTTTCCCCATACAGGATCTCACTATGAAGTTCAGGCTGGCCTCAAACTCACTATGTAGCCCAGGCTAGCTCCAAACTTACAGCAATCCTTCTGCCTCAGCCTCCTAAGTGCTGTGATCACAGGTACACATCACCAACTTGGTTTTAATTTATTCTTTATAAATCAAGCAATTTTTCCAGATATGGTGCACACCTCTAACCCCAACATTTAAGAGTATGATGCAAGAGGATTTACATGAGTTCAGAATAGCCTGGGCTATTCTGGGCTATACAGTGAGACCCTATCTCAAAAAAAATCAACCAAACAAACAAAAAATTAAGTTTTAAAGGGAATTCTGGGGGCTGGGGAAATAGCTCAGTAGAATAAGCACTTGCCTGGCAAGCTCAAAGGCCTGAGTTCAATCCCCAGTTCCACCACCACCACCACCACCACCAACAACAACAACAACAACAACAACAAAGGAATTCTGTTGGCTAATGGGGTTTTGCTTAGTAAAATTTTTCGTTGGCTAATGGGGTTTTGCTTAGCAAAAAATAAATATGAATCATCCTGCAACATGAATAATAATCTACCAATTAAGTTTTGTGTGCAAATTAGGTCATTATAATTAAGATGAAGTGCATCTGTTAGGAAAATTAAAAAGATCTAAACCACTATGAGAAAAGATGGAGATTTATTTACCATAGAAAGTTTTTAAGGCATAATGCATTTAGTTTGAAATATAATGAAGTATGTTTGAAGCATCTTTCAAAGTTCATGTAATAGTGACTGGTGCTTGGCCCATTGGGTGGGAGAGATGGACAATTTTATGGATTAAAACAAAGTCACAGGACCAAATGGCCACAGAGTAATAAGATGCTGAGTCTTCACTGTAAGAAATATATTCAATGCTTTCCTAAAAATATAGGTGATAATTCATATAACTTTAGATTGGGTTAAATGGCAACAATATACCCTCTAGTCAGGGCTTTTTAAAATATATATATTTAGTACAGAGTCTACAGGGTGTCACTACACAAATCAGACTCGCAGTGATCCTCCTTCTGTTTTCAGCCTCCCAAGTGCTGGGATTACACATGCGTGCCACCACTCCCAGTCTCAGTCACCATCTCAGTGTGCTACGGGGGCGGGGCCAGCACAGCAGGCCAGGGATTGAATCCTGGTCCCTGCATCTGCCTAAGCAGGTGCTTTAGTCTGCTGAGCTATCTGGCTGCCCCTAGTCCAGGCATCTTGAGATGAGAGCAATTAATTAAAATGTTTGTAGCGATGGCACATTGTATGTGATACTCTTTTCAATTCAGCTGATGCCTACACAAAATTCATTTAGATTTCTCACTCAGATTTCTCCTTAACTATAGTAAAGTCACATGTAAGCTAAAGAAAATTTGCTCCTAAATCTCTTGAATTAAAAGACCAACAGGGTAAGGTCACTGTATCCCCAATATTCTCAGTAAGGCTGTCCAATGTGCTATATCTAATTACAATAAATAAATATTTTTGGGCCAGGCAGATAGCTCAGGAGACTAAAGTGCTTGCTTAGGCAGATGCAGGGACTGGGATTCCATCCCTGGCTTGCCATGCTGGCCCGCCCCCGGGACGTGCTGAGATGGCAACTGAGACTGGGCGTAGTGTCACAAGCCTGCAAGCCCAGGGCTTGGGAGGCTGAAAACAGGAGGATCACTATGAGTCCAATTTGTGTAGTGAGACCCTGTAGACCCTGTACTAAATACATTAAAAAATATATTTTTTCATTTGTATTTCCTAAAGTAAAAATGATGATGAGTAAGAAAATGTGTTCAGAAATAATTACTAGGGCTGGTGAGATGGCTCAGTGGTCTAAAGCACCTACTTGGAACAAGCTTAGCAAAGCACAGGGACCTCGGTTCAATCCCCCAGCACCACATGCCAGCCAGCCCCGCCCCCTGGTGGGCTGAGCTGGACACACACACACACACACACACACACACACACACACACAAATAAAGTTCTTTTAAAAAAAAACAATAAAAAAAAAAAGAAATAATTACTAAGGCGCACCCTAGTTTGAGTAAAACTTATAGCCTATCTATTTTTAATGAAATCCACCTAAGAAGGGAATTTTCTATGGAAAAATTAGTGAAATGCATCTAAATCTACATTGTTTTCTGCTCAATACTAAAATCCCCAAGCAGAAAACAGACTGACAATTCACCTTCAGGGCGCTCAACGAACAACCGCTTCAGGCTTTGGTAAGTGCCAATCTTGATGGTGCCATAGGAAGCCTGGCGCAGCATTGCAGGGGCAATCCTGTTGGTCCAGAATGCAAGGGGACAAAACAACCTAAGAAACTTGAAGTCCACGAGACCCATACGCAAGACCAATCAAACTGCACTAAAACCATATTCAAAACTCAACAAAAATACAAGTAAGTTTAGTGAAATTTGTGCCAATTATTAGTTCACTAAGTGGGAGATTAGCCTCATTTATGCTCAGTGAAAATGTAAATGAACAGAATCCATTTGCCCATCCACATTTTCTTTAATTTTTATTTTTAATAGTACATTTGTAGCATGTAATGATTATATTCACCATGGGAAGACAGAACACAAGTACATAACATCTTAATTTTTTTAATGCTTACTTACATTAAAATGCAAAGGCTTTCCTGTCTCAGTAGCTGGGAAAACTAGCCCAAGCAAGGCACACTGTAAGCACCTGTAATTCTCCTGCTATGGAATTCATCTACTAACTTCTTGGGGACCTACCATATTCAAGTTATTTCCTCTCCCTAGAAGCTTTGCCATTGTAATACTGAAATAAGTTCAAGGCAGAATTAGGAAAACAAACCACCTTTCCTGCATCCTACAAGTCACCCCCTCAATAATCCTTCACACCAATAACCACCCCACACGATTTATACCCGCAGCTCTCTTTCTGTACCTCCCACCTGCCTCTACAATTACAATCTGAAAACTCTCTACCCTCTCCCTCAACTCCCCCTTCCTCAAGGTGACCAAGTGGCAATTTTATTGCTAAACTAAATGATGTTTTTCGGGTAGTGGTTGTACAACCTCTGTCATGTTTGCTCCTAGCCACCCACAGCCATCTGGCAGCTCTCTTCTCCCTGACAGGTGGTAGCAGCACCCTCTCCTACTTCTCTTCCCTAAACATCCTAGCTGTGTCTCTAAGGATCTTCAAAGTTCTGCCCTACCTTCTCTCCTCACTCTACCCAGCCACCACCTGGGCTCATCATATACAATCATGGCTTCAACTAGCATATAACACTGATGACTCCTAAGTCTTTGTTTTCTTTTCTTTTTTTTTTTTTTTTCAGTACCGGGGATTCAACTCAGGACCCTGCACTTGCCAGGCAAGCACTTATCTGAGCTACCTCCCAGGGCCCTAAATCTTTATTTCTAACACTGATGCGAAGACACAGTACCAATTTCCTATGTTCTCAATTTAGATGACCTACATATATCCCCAGGTCAAATGTCACATGTTGAAATAATTCTCTTTCTCCTCCCAGAAAATGAAATATCACTTTCCATTTCCTAAACCAGCGAATAGAACCTCCAGCTCTACTCTGGTCAAAACCAGAAGTCCATCAGCCCTGTTTCCTCCTTCCTCACTATACCCAGATGGTGATCTCGTAAGAGATTTCACAATTGTACTGCCCTACATCTTAAACAGTTTTCTAGTCTGCCTTCTTCCTCTCCACACCCCAAAATAAAAGCCCAGCCCACATTCTCGTCTCTTCTGCTTCCAACATGATAGCTCTGCATCTAGAGCTACCTATCAACTCTTCTTCCCCATCGCAACCAGGCAACTTTTAAATAAAAATCTGATCTTGTCAGTCCTCCTACTTAAAATCCCCAATATATTACACACCAAAAACATATAAAAAAAAGGAAACAACTTTTAGTGGCTTCAGTCTGTAACAAGCACAGCAAACTCAAATGCTTGCAGATACAAGCAGATGTGAGTGAAAGAAGCAGGTTCTGTCCAACTGCACACAAACATTCTATGTGGCAGAGGTTTGACAAAGCAGAGAAAGCATACTTAACTCCATCACTAACATAAATGAATGAATGTGGGTACAATGTTGATTTTGCTTGAGAACATGGTATCCCAGAATTTTATATGTAATTTTCTCATTATCAAAATACTAGTTCAGGGCCAGCCAAATAGCTCAGCAGATTAAAGCGCCTGCAAGCAGGCACAGGGGCCAGGAGTTCGATCCCCAGGTTTGCCGTGCCGGCCCCGCTCGCGGGGTGCACTGAAACAGCAATTGAGACTGGCTATAGTGGCGTGCGCATGCGCCTGTTATCCCAGCACTTGGGAGGTTATAAAACAGGAAAATCACGAGTCCAATCTAGTAGTGAAACCCTGAACAACCTGTAGACCCTTCCCTAAAATACAGAAAAAAAATAAAATACTGGTTTAATAAATAAATGTTTTAAAAAATAAAATATTTGTCATCCAACCATGAAGGCACAAACATAATTTCACTAGTCAGGAGAACGAGGAATGAGGACTGCTTGAGTCAAGAAGCTCAAGACCAGGCTAGGTAATAGAGAGATAGATGCTGTCTCAATCAATCAATCAATCAATGATATATTGGCTCAACTGAGAAACAAAAACCTTTGGAATCCCAGCACTTGGGAAGCTAAGGCAGGAAGATCACCACAAGATGGAGACCAGCCTGGACCACATAGCAAGACCCTGTCTCTAAAAAAAGAAAAAAAGATGATAAAACATTATTTCCAAAAGCATTTCAAGACTGAAAAAAAGCAAAAGAAAGAAAGAAAACAAAACCTTGCCAAGCATGGTGGCACACGATTATAATCCCAGCACCAAGGAGGCTGGGGCAGGAGGATTGCTGTGAGTTTGTGGCCAGCCTGGGCTACAAAGTGAGTTCAAGGCCAGCTTGAACTGTATAATGAAACCCTATCTCAAAACAAAAACAACAACAAAAAGAAAACAAAAACCTTTAGGATTGGTGGCTCCATGTGCTGAACTACTTGCAGTTCCCTGAACGTGCCACACTCTCAGCACATACTCCTGGCCCTGTATGAACACCATGCCCCTCTAATTTCACCTGGCTAGCTTTTCTCCATTCTTCAAGGTCTGATCCAGTGCCTCTTAGTCCAAGCTTTCCTAAAAACAACCAACTCTTTTCCCTACAGTCTGGGACTGATGTTCTCTCTCTACCATTTCCACATCTACAATTCCCACTGTCAATTCCTTAAGGATAGTTAATGCTGCTGGTCCTTTGTTCTCTGAGATGCTTGTTCTCTGAGATCCTTTCTTTGTCCCCTATGATGCTGAGGTTATGTACTATATAACCTAAGCTTCCTTGCCAGCTGACTTCCAGGGGATTGAACCAGTAGGAAAAGAGAAGGAAGAGAAGAAAAAGACAAAGCTTCTTCCTCCTCTCTGAGCATTACTAAGGCATCCCTTGACAACTATTGTCCTTTGCTTAGAGGCTCTGGCTCGCTTGGCGCCTGGCAACACTATCCTTGGTGCCTGGCAACACTATCCTGCCCTTGCCTCCAGGCCTGTATGGTTGGTAGCCATTTCTTATCTTGCTATTTTCTCATCTACCCTCCATTTTTTTCCCTTGACCTTTACTTTCCCTTGGCTCTTCATTTAAACCATCTAGTGAAGTCTGTCTACTTTATTACTCTCCCACCCAGAGCCTTATGGAACACATTAAATCCTCTCCTTTAAATGCTGACTTCAATGCCACTTCTGTCTTTACTACATTGCTTTCATTACAGCAGGAACCTTCCATAATTCTGAATAGTTAAAACAAAAACTATCTTTCAAAAAAGTGAGTATTGAAAAACAGGGTGTTTTAAACCAACAGTTTTTGTATTATTGTCTGTGCTTATATAAGTAAAAGCAGTATCATTAAAATAATATGCTACGTAAAATACATATTTAGAAAAGAGTTGGAATAAATATCTATTGCGACAATCACTCTTTTCAATTTAGGATTAAGTCTATTCTTCTGAGTCAACAGTGAAATACAAATACAAAAAGGTCACTCACCCTGAATACAGCGCCTTCAGTCCTTCTTCTCTGCCTATCCTTACTAAAGCGTGCAACATTCCTCGATACCTGACTTCTTTAAAGTTTGCATCATTCCTCTGGCCTTGTATCTGGAGCCGCGTCTTGGTTAAATCAATTGGAAATGTGCCTTAAAATTTTTTTAAAAAGAAGTACTTAACTTAATAAAAATCAACTCAAAAAATATATAAAATGACACATTACTAAGGAAGCATTCAAACTATAATGTAAAATAAACATTAAGAATTGGCAAGAACTGTGCAATCTTTTTCCTATTAAAAAATGAAAGGGCAACTCGCTTTCCTATTTGATACTGGATTTAATCAATTTTACCTAAGCAATGGTGCTTGTAATCTCATTGGTTGACCATAGTTTTGTCCCACCTCATGCCCAACTAAGCAGTTCCCATGTCTTCTTCCCCACCTTAGACCCGCCTCACTGCATGGTTTTCCTCTATAAAAGTCCCTGTAAGAGGCAACTTCCAGGGGGAGGAACTACCCGCTCGGGCCCCCCCTCCTGTCCTCTCGGGACACCTGATTTCTTTCTCTCAATAAACATATTCTGCTAAAAAAAAAAAAAAAAAAAGAAAGGGCAAAAAGATGAACAAAAGCAAAAATCATAAATATTTTTCTTCCTTTACATTTTTATGTATACATCATCTTACTCTATAAAGGATTTAAGGAGGCTGCACTGCTATAGAAAATAGGTAAAAAGATTTACCTAAATTGGAAATTCATTTAAAAACCAGTTACTATTCTATATGTATATGAAGACTAAATTTTAATGAAACCAAAGAGAAGCCAGTTCAGTTTCTAAAAGAATTTCTCACTTAGGAAGGAGTGATTTATAGTCTAAAATTAAATTTGATAATGCAGGTAGAGATGTTTAATAAAGTGCCTAACCCAGACATCAATATGTGCTGATTCTCAAATAGTAACTTTGATTCTTGAATCAAAGTTAATTATTCAGGGAGAGAATCATTCACTGAAATTTATCAATTCATTCCCACCAGCACAGAGAACGCAAGCCAGGAGGTGAGCGGCTAACTGGCCATGGAATGCAACTGAGCAAACAAAATATCCAGCCAGCATGGGCGCTCAGAAGTTGCCCCATCAATGTATATTGAACGAATGATGTGAGAATAAACAGGGTCAAGACACCAAAAGAATATGGACAATATACAAAATTAGAAAGTCATTTACTAAGTACAGGCAATATAATCTGGCTCAGCGAAGACGCTTGAGCCTTTCAAACCTCTTTACAACCAAACAGTTAATAGTGGCAAAGTAGAGAAAAGGACAAGGAAAACAGGGACAGATGTAGTCCAAATAGAACTCGTAACTTTTATTTGATCAACAGGCTCGGCAGCCTCTCCCTTGTACTCAGAGCCGCTAGTAAGCAGCCCAAATGACTATCCTGTTTTTAAAAACATACCAAAAGATGGCATTTCTGAATTCTGGGACTGTTTTATAACAATCTACTCTTGAACAACATTCATATCAAATACCAAATGGAAGCCTTACCAAGTTTTAAACCAAACTTCAGTGCCCTGGGCTGCTTACCACATTCGGCTGTGATGGAGGCCAGCCCACCATAGACAAAGGGCTTCCAGTTGAGAGCTGTCATTTTGTTACTGCTCCTTGGACTCATACAAGCATCATCTCTAACAGCTTTCTCCTGGACACAAGAAGAAGATTATTCAAAGTTATGATTTGTCACACAGGATGCCTCTTCTGTGAACTCTCTGGTTTTTAGAGTGCCATTAGGGGCTGTCACTGAAGCCTCCCACAGCAATGCTCAACCTAAGTGCCCTTAATTTTCTCACTCAGGCCTCAAGAAGCCTTGTGCTGGGCTGACACTGTTCTGTGCGTGTGCGTTCAGTAGTGTGGCAATAGGTATTTTCTAATAGTTTTATCTTAGATCTTTCTTCTTCCGGACATAAATATTTGCTATTCATCCACCACTGTTTTAGTGAGTCCCTAAGGAGAGGCATCAGATACACTGGAGCAGAAAAACACTTCAAACCTGCAGCATCGAAGTAAGGTGACCATGACTTCCAATTACCACAATCTATTTCTAGTTTACACTCTGAAAACTGTCAGCTCTCTTCTCTTAGCCACGTCAGGTCACCAACTGGAAGGTGGCTTAGCATGCAGGAAATAAGCTGACCCTAGTCAGAGCCACGTAGCTCCTCAGGGAAGCTCCTATGAACCATAAATGCAGGTATGCTCACCAAAAGTCATCATCAAAATAGCTAGCACAACCAATTATGGGTAGTGCACATGCTTTTATTCACTAAGAGAAATAAAATACCTAGCTTGGAGATGGCTCAGTAGAATAAGCGCTTCCCTGGCAAGCTCAAGGGCCTGAGTTCAATCCCTGATTCCACCAAAAAAAAAAAAAAAAAAAAAAAGAAGAAGAAGGTTAAAGACACCCGATATATGCTGTCTTCTAATTTTCCCCTTGCCAGTCCTCCCTCAGTGTGATATACCACATGCCACAGATGAGCCTTCCCCTTCACGATGTGTGTGTTCCACAGTGTATGTAATCTGATTAGTAGATCTGGCCTTGTGCCATTAACACAAACATAAATTAATACAGTTTTCTATATATAATACAGTTTTATATATATATATATAAAGTCCATAATATTGTCAGTTTAAAATAAAATTTCTGGGCCAGGTTTATGTTTCAGCAGTGCAGTACCTGCCTAGCAAGTACAAGGTCCTAGTACCAAAATTAAAAAAAACATAAAATAACTAATTTATTATAGTAATTTCTGGAAAAAAATATGCACAATGTTTTTATTTTGCCTGTGTTTAGGAATTTCCCAAGTCTATGTTTCCCAGAAGCCTATCACAGTCACCACTGCCCAGAATGCCAGCTCTCAAGAAGCCCGAGGAGCTGGCTTAAGCTATGAGGAAATATACGGAGCCCAGAGGATGCTAGCTCAGTGGTGCAGCATCTGCATAGAAAGCATAAGGTCCTGAGTTCAATTCCCAGTATCAAAACAAACAAAAAAATATTCATTTTTAAAACAATGAATATGTATGTACCATGTAGACATACACACCCATACCCACACAAGATAGCCTCCAAAATGTCAGCAAAAGTTTATGGAAATAATATTATAAGTGATTTTTTGTTTATTTATTTGTTTTTTGTTTTTTTAAGAAAGGATCTTATTATGTAGCCTGACCTCCAACTCATAACAACCCTCCCGCCTCAGTCTCCCAAGTACCAGGATTACAGGTATGCACCACCACACCTAGCATAATCAATCTTTAATTTAAAAATTTAACTCTACTTCCATATAATCTCTTTCCATCCCATTAATTTTCTAGTTCTATATCAATATTTTTAGCCCCTTACCTCTGTCAGTTGTGGTATTAAGTTTGTAGTTACTTAGATTAAAACCCAACCGGTCTGGATGAACCATGCAAATGCTCAAACTGCACCAACTGCACAGTCACCTCCTCGCCCTTTTCAATCACATGGGGCGGGATCACACGCTCACTCGCTTCCAGGTGTACCGCCACAATTAAACTCCTCTCCCACCAAAGGCTGTTCACTCCTGCAGCAGCATTCCTGGGCACACTATAAAAAATATTTTCTATTTAATTACAGTGCTTAAGAGTTCCTACTAAAAAAGTTAAGAACAACTTTTTGGCTCTTGTTTTCCTTTCCTACAAAATGGTAGATCCCTCAGCAGTTACAATAACTGGGCCTTCCCAAGTTAATGTTTTCAGAGTAGAAGACGGGTCTGACTTACACAAGAATCAGGAAGCCTCAGGAGGTAGACAAACATCCAGTCAAGAGGAAGTTCTAGTTAAGATTATGTGAGCCTGTGTCCACTACATTGTAAGGGCCAGCAAGCTGTGACAGGGCTTCAGTTATCTTGGGCTGTAATCCCTGTTCAGTAAATTAACCTTTTTTTTTTTTTTTTCTTTTTTCTTTTAGCTGTCTTTGGAGTCTCACACTAACTTCCAGTCAGTTTTTTGAAAAAGAAAAATCTCAACTCTGTTAAAATGCCCAGACTTACAGGCCAGGACAGTCAGACTGACTGGTTGTTAGCAGCTAACAGGAGGGCGCCTCTGAGCAAGAGATCAAGGGAAAAGACTGCAACTTTACAGAAATACAGGGGCAGGCAACAACTGGATCACTGCCCACTGTACCCTACTCTTTGGTCACACTCTCAGACTAAAATCAGTGACCACTTCTTTTGCTGCACAATTGACTATGATGCTAATAACAGAATACCTGATGATAGATTTTGCTGTACATTTCCCAGCAGGATTTCACTTAGCCCTTACAACCCTATGAAATAAGCATCATCCAGCTTTCACAACTGGAGCAACACAATCTCAAAGAAGTGACTTTCCCTAGTCACAGCTATGGGGCATTCAAACTAATACTTCTCTCAAGGACAGCATGATCTTTCCTTTGTAGCCAAACACCATCTTTATTTTTATTTTTTTATTTTTGGCAAAACTGGGGATTGAACTCAGGCCCTTGTGCTTGCCAGGCAAGTGCTTCTATCTCCCCAGTCCCTAAACACTATCTTTAAAGCTGTTTTTTAAAAAATACTGGGATCTGAAGTTGTAGCTCAGTTGTATACTGCTTGCCTAGCAATGTACAAGGCCACCAGAATCAGTTCCCAATACTGTCACACACACACACATGGGGGTTCCTATATTTACAGAATAAATGTAAATTTTTTCTGCAAGACATATAACATTATTTTCAATAAACAAACGTGCTTTTTAACATAAATGTCTATACAAATTGAGAATTCCAAAAATTCTCCCTATATTTAAGACATGTTAACCCGTCCTTTCTACTATACTCTGTCACATATTTAACATAACAATCTATTTTCACCTGATCTTATTTGTCGAGCTGTACAGAGAACTAATTAAATACAGCACTTGCAGCTAATGCTTGTGAAAGCTTTCCAAAATTCTTGATAAATTCCTTCAATTGTAGTTGGCTTCCTTTTTCAGTTTGCAGTCTTCAACCAATCACTAAACTTATGTGCTCTCATAAATCTTTGTTCCCTGCTGGGATTGCCCTCTCATGAACTCTGTTTCCTATAAAGGTGCAGTATGAAAAATAAACTCAGCACAAATTTATGAAACGTAGCCTTTAAAAAGAATCTTGGAAATCCTATCTCATTTCATATGAATTAACATGTCACGAATCTCATGGTCACGAAGGCTGACAGCAGCAAAACCATGCTCAAAATTTATGCCTTTCAACTTTCTCCTTACACAAATAGTCTCTGCAGGGCACTTCCGACATTGTTTTGCTATTATTGCGCAGAAGCAATACTTTTGATTATTGTGACTGCTTTACATGAAATTACACCTAGTGTGAAAACCCAGAGCTACGTCAACTTGAAAAGCCAATTCATTCGATCGGTTCTTGCAAACATGAGCCGACCTGGCTTGTTCCGTGAGCAAATAAAAAGCTAGCGTGCGCCTACCCGGCGTGCGGGGCTGGGGGATGCCCGGGCTGCTCAGTCTGAAAGTGCCCACTCGTGGAGGAGGAAACGATGCCCCCAAGCCAGAGCGAGCTGCGGCGGCACAGACGCTGAGACCCCAGGGGAGCTTCGCGCGTGCACCCCAGCTACACCGGCACAGGCATCGCGACAGTTACAGCGCCTCCCAGAGTCCGCCGGACCCCGGCAGAAGCAGAAGCCGGCTTAGCGGCCAGGCCCGGAACCTCGCGACCCACGGAGCCGGCACGGATCAAAGCGAAACCGGGAGCGCCGTCACCCCGCGCTCACTCGGCTCGGTCTACTTTCCGTGGCCCCAACCACACCTCCCACCAACTGTTGGGGCGCCTGCGGGAGAGCGGGACACTGGGAAAAGGCGCGGGTCAGACACTCACCTGCGGCGGCAGCCCTCCGCCTTCCCCGACCCAGGACCAGCCGGGGCCTGACAGGAACGCCACTCTGGAGAAGAAAAGGCCGCGGGGCTGCGGGGGCGGCCCAAGAGCCAGCTCATAGCCCCGCCCCCGCTCAAGGTTCCGCCCACGACGTCGGTTCCCATTGGTCATTATTGAAAGTCCCGTCCAGGCCACGCCCACTGCAGCAGGTTTGCAGGTTTCCGGAAGCTGACTGAGTACTAAGGGGATCTAGGCTTCGGCGGCGAGAGAACCCTCAAGAAGTCTCGATATATAGAAAAGGAGACTTTTCAGGGGTCGCTGTCCGTGCCCACGTGAATCTTGACTGTCGGAAGAAAGTACACTTGCGCTTGTTTTTTATACCCTTGCTGTTTAGTTTGAATGTTATCAGGGCGAGGGAGCTGGCTCAATGGCATAAGCATCTGGCAGTTAAGCACAAGGTCCTGAGTTTGATCCCCAGTACCAGAAAAAAATCAAGGTAGCAGAAGTACGAGGAATACTATTTTATGGAAATATTGCTTTGGGCAGTTTTCTTGGTTCCCTGTGGTTTGTTAAGAATGCATGTTTAGCTGGCCACAATGACATGCACCTGTAGTTCCAACACTTGGAGGCTGAGGTGGGGAAATGACTTGAGCCATGAGTTAGAGAGCAGCCTGGGCAGGAGGAGGGGGACAGGGAGGGAGAAAAAGAAAGAACGAGAATAGAAAGACCAGAAACAAAAACGCATGTTTTATGTACATCAGCAAGTGAAGTGTGTGCCTCCCGTGTTCATCCATGCAGATAGCCGTATCAGGCGGACAACCGCACTTCTATAGAATGAGCGTCTTTCTGGCCCTCTACGCAGTCAGCAAGCTCCTCGGGGCAGGGATCCAGTCCAGCGCACTACTGTATTCCCAGTCCTTAACATAGCGCCTGGCATGAACCACACCCAATAAACACTAGCACATTTAATGTCTACAAAATTTGGGAGCCAGAAGGGAAAAGACCAGGATGGTCTTTTTCAAATGGTCTGTCTTGCCCACTGACCTCACCACAGTGGTGACCTCACACACAAAGGGCTAGAACTACAGGGATGACCTTTTTGCTAGCAGGATCCCAAAGCAGTAGAGGACACTGCATGGCAAGAGACTAGATGCATCTCTGTGTCTATTTTCTTTTATAAAGAGAATTTTAAAAACAGTTAAAAAAAAATTAGAATACAGAATTTTACTAAACAAAATGATAGAACTTCAACAATGGTTGTTATATTGCATACTGTTGTCTTCAAATTAGTTGTTAGCATTACCAGATATAAGCATGCAAATTTTTTCAAAAAATTATTTAAAAAATTAAAAGGAGAGAGGAAAAAATTAAGCATTAACTACTCCTTTCAATAGACCAGCAAAATTCAGCACTACAATCATCTAAGCTGTCCTGTATATATATTTCTTTTTCCCTTCTTTCTTTTCTCTTTTCCCTCATCCCAGTTGTTCCTTTCCTTTGAACAGTTTCTTTTCCTTTTACAGTATCTATTGTAGCTTTCAGATTTTATTTACTCTTTCAGGTGCTTACACTAAAGAGGCAATATGATGTTTACACATGAAGGTCTGATTTATTTCAAAGTATGGTCTCCAGTTTCATCCATTTACCTAAAAAGCCTCGAGTTTATTTTTTATAGCTGAGTAATATGCCATTGTATAAAATAACCACATTTTTTGACCATTCCTCAATTGATGGGCATTTGTATTTTTTCCAAGATTTAGCTATCCAATTGTGATGTTACAAACATGGGTGCACATATATCATTGCGATATGATGTTTTTAGTTTTCTGGGAAAATATCGGGCAGGGGGAATAGCTGGGTTAAGTATGACCTCTAATTCTAGTTTTTTGAGGCATCTCCACACTGATTTCCACAGTGGTTGTACCATTCTACACTCCCATGAACAGTGGAGAAGGGTTCCTTTTTCCCCACAGCCCCACTAGTATTTGTTATTGGTTAACTTCTTGATGATAGCCATTCTTTCTGGGGTGAGATGGAATCTCAGTGTTGTTTTAATTTTCTGAAATGACCAATGATGTTGAACATTTTTTCATATGTTTATTTGCCATTTGTATTTCATCTGAGAAATGTGTATTCATTCATCTCAGATGCCCATTTAATTTGTTCTAGGTAGGAGTCCATTGTCTGAGGGACAGTCAACTAAAATTTTTTCCCAATTCATGGGTTTTCTCTTTACTCTGTTGGTGATTTATTTTGATGTGCAGAAACTTTTCAAAAAGCTGAGATCCCAGTTGTTGATTCTTTGAAGTATTTCTCATGCATCTTGGTTTTTGTCCATGAACTCTCTGCCTACTCTCTTCCTTTTCTTATGAAGTGATCATGGGAGCATCACCATAATGATCATCAATCCTAATCACACCCGAAGGCCGCACCTCTTAACACCATAATAAATTAAGTGTCCACTCCTTAACACCTTGAAAAGGGGGTTAAATTTCAACATGATGCACTGGGGGACATTCAGCCATATCTGAATCATAAGTCATCCTTTAAATTTTTGTGTTCAGGGGTCAGCAAACTATAGTTCACAGGCCAAGTCTCTCTGGATATTTTTGTACAGTCCTAGAACTAAGGATAATTTTTGTATTTTAATAGGCATATTTTAAGTTATTATGTAACTCTCCATATAATGTTCTGGATTTTGCCTCCTGGCCTGCCTCATATTGATAATCTGATCCTTTACAGAAAATGTTTTACTGGTTTTCAGAATCCCTAGGCTCGCCTTTAGGAAAATTCACTTTCGGTTTTCCAGTTTGGTCTCTACTGTGCATACCCTAGTGCATCCTCATTTGGGGGCATGTTTGGTGAAGGGGGAATAACTTAGTCTTCTAACTATCAGTCGTAGCAGAGTGACCATTAGACCCCCCAGGAAGACCTCCTGGCAGGCTGGCAGTTCCAATTTGCAACACAATTCTCTTATTATCATCAATACAATTTATATATAGCCAAATCCCCTTACACTTTCTGTTTAAAAGTTCAAGTATATCAATGGCACATTTGAAATCAAAATCACAGAGTAACATATCAGATTCTCTAAAGAGGATAATTCCTATCTTTGCTATTACATTTCAAATAAATAACAAACCCATGGAGATTGTCTTACTGCCTAGAGCTAAAAATATTAGTACTATGAATTTTATTTAGCTCATCATTTCTATATTTAATCTCAACCCTTTCTAAAGTTATATAATCCTTAACTACCAACAGATTTTCCAGTGCACATTAGCTGAGTAAATGGGGAATGGAAATATCAAGACAGACTATCTTTAAGAGAATCAAGACTTGGTGCAGGACATGGGAGCCACACTACTATGTGCACCATTTATATAGAAGAATGTACTTGATACATCAGTAGGGACGACAGGTTAAATCTTTCCATTGGAGTTTAGTTTTTCTACTTTTATTCCTGGGCACACCATCCTACTCTCTTACAAAATTTGTTTGTGTCCTGCTGTAAATTTTGTAGCTGAATTTAAGTTTAGGTGGAGAGAGATGGAGTGTGTGCATCCTCAGAGAAAGCTAATGGAAGATATGTTTCCCCCAAAGCAAAGAATAAACTGAAAGCAAGAAGACTTGGGACCCACGGAATAGAAGGACCAGCACAGGAAGGCAGGGAAAGGACTCCTAATGATAACAGTGACAAGAAACCTCAAGACAACAGCAACCAGTCTAGCCTGGAGCAGGGTTACAGAAAGATCCAGAACACAGTGCCAAGGGGGAAAAGAGAAAATCATGTGCTTCACCTGATGTTTGTGAAGAAATTGAGGGGAGGCTTGATACTGCTGATGGGCAGTTTGGGGATGAATTAGAAATAGGAACCCAAAAAATTAAGTCTCCAAAAATTTTTTTAAATGAAGGCATTTTTAAGTTGCCAAGGGAAAGTAAACTAAATACATATCACATGTATCCTAGTGTAGTGGCACATACCTGTACTCCGGGAAACCACACAGGAAGATGGGAAGTTTGAGCCCAGCCTGGGTGACTCACACTTAGCTAGACTCTGTCTCTTAAAAAAAAAAAAAAAAAAAAAAAGGGTATTGCTCAGTGGGAAAGGCTCTGGGGTTCAATTCCCAGTATTACAAAAAAGAAAAAAGAAAGAAAGAAAAGAGAAAAGGGAAAGGAAAAAGCAGGCATGGTAGTGCACATTTCTAGTCCCAGCACTCAGTAAGTTGAGGCAGGAGGAGTATCATGAGTTTGAGGCCAGCCTAAGTTACATAGTAAATTCAAAGCCAGTCAGGACTATATAGCAAGACCCGGTCCACTATCCCCCAAGAAAGAAAGAAAACATAATCATAGTATATTATGATACAGCTCAACTATGAGTAATATTTATCTTTTTTAAAATGCATTTAGTACAGGGTCTACAGGGTCTGGCTACACAGATTGGATTTGTAGTGTTTCTCCTATTTTCAGCCTCCCAAGCACTGGGATTACAAGCCTGTGCCACCACACCCAGCTTCATTTGCCATCTCAGCACACACTGGGGCAAGGCTGGCAGAGCACACTGGGGATCAAACCCCAGTCCCTACATCTGCCTAAGCAAGTCCCAAGTTCTTGCTTTAATCCACTGAGCTATCTAGCTGGCCCTTTCTAGTAATATGTAAAAGTCTATGTAATGAAGATGCTACAATTGATTTAAACAAACATTATGAAATACAGATGCTCTTCAACTTAAAATGGGGTTATATTCCCAAACTCACGTTGACAATACTGTACTGGAAATAAAAAATGCATTTAACACATCTAACCTACTAAGCACAGCTTAGCTCAGCCTACCATTAATGTGCTCAGAACACTTGCGTTAGCCTATAAGTGGGCAAAATCATCTAGCACACAAAGCCTGTTTCATAATAAAAAGTTTGACATCTCATTTAATGTATTAAATACTTATGCTTTTTAAAATGCTGGAAAAAATTTATAACATTCTGGAAACAGCAAGGGTAAGCACAGATTCCCTCTGCACAATCATGTGGCTGATGGGGAGTCAAGGCTCACTGCTGCTGCCCAACATCAAGCAAAAGTATG